AGGAAAGGGAGGGAGGGAAGGAGAAAGTATCGATAAAGAGAAGAATGTGAAAAAGGGAAGAGGAAGTGAAGAAGTAGAAATGAATAAAATTATGAGAGACAAACAGACAGACACACACACACGCATATATATATATATATATATATATATATATATAGTAAAATAGTTATTCAAAGAATAAATCTATAAAGTTAATATAATTAATGGCGAATTCACTTCGCTAACAGATTAAGAAGGCTCACTGACGACTCGCTGAACGACGCGATCCTTTCTTTTATTAATTATACAATATTGTAAACAATATGGATCGAACATCTAATCCATTGTATAATTAATAAAAACAAGGATCGTGAACAAAACAAGAGGAGGAGAGAAAGAAGAGGGAAGGAGAGAGGGGAAACAAGAAAAAAGGCGAAAAAGAAGAGAACCTATAGAAAGGATATTAAGAAAAATATAGACGCGAGGAAGAGAGAGGAAAAACAGCAAGATAGAGAAAGGGAAGCAAGATTTAAGGAGTAATATAAGAAAGAAAAAATAAAAGGGAGGAAGAAAGAAAATAGGAAGGAGAGAATAAAAGATAGCAAAAAAAGACGAGGCGAAAAGGGTGAAAGGATAAAAACAGAATGACAGAAAATGATGGCGAAGATAAAAGCGTTACGCACGAAAATAACAACCACGGAAAAGTCTGGAAAGACATACATAAAAGTCATGGCACAACAGTAAAAATGAGGGCAAAAAATGTTAAATTATTTGAACTTTGCAGTGTTTCTCTTATTCTCATGTCGTCTTATATTCAGTCCACCACAGTTTCTTTCAAAATATCGGCTTCTTGCATAACACAATATTCACATACTTTCGCTGTCGCCCAATGGCTACAAAGAGGACTTCCCTTATAAACCACGCTTTGTTCTCTGCCTCAATTTTTTTTTTATACAGTTCCTTTTTTTCTTGTTTTCTGCGACTCAGTTTTTCATGAGGTTTTATCGTGGCCACACTTCACAAAAAATCTTTTAATCTTAATAAGGAGGCTGATTAGCAAGCTGGTTCCGCAGATCATCACAATCTATTAATAGGTCCGATCCTCATTGGGCACTTATCCTGGGTATGACGATAAACTCCATCCGACAGCAAGCTCTCTGATCAGGATAGTGGAGGTTTTTAGGAACGTAGAACTTCTTAATTGCCGTTGTTTCTACGGCCACCCTGACTCGTAGGGTCCCATCTACGGGCAAATAGTGAACCCTCAAAAAAAATTCAGTAGTACATTTTTATAATAAAATGACTAACAATATATTTTTTATAGTAAAAAAAAAATAAATAAAAGATAGAATTACATTTTTCGGACTATTGTCCTCATCTTTGTGGCCATTTATAACAACGTTTCGGCCGTTGTATGCTCCGGCCTTCTTCAGGTGGTTGGAATGTCGAACTGAACCCTTTATTTCGCTCGCTAGGGTAGACTGTTCTAGTTCCATGTCTAATGGATGTCAGTTATCTCCTGTTAATTCACCTCTCCAAGTTCTCCACTGCCTTAACCAGGTATTGAACTCACTGTCACTTGATCTAACCATCGCCTTTATCCACTGTGACGTGTGTCCTTAAGGACATCTGTATATGAATTTCTGGGACTTATAAACTTAATGCGTTCAGCATCATTTTTTTTTACCAGTGCTCATATTGCAATTTTTGCTGTTATTGCATGTTTTTTTTACAATGAGGACAATAGTCCGAATAATGTAATTAGTATACATAATATCTCATCTCAGAAATACAGACAGATACTAAATTACATTTTTATAGTCTAATTACCAGCAATATATTTTATGGTCTAAAAAATATATATCTAAAAATCATACCTTTACTCTGAAAGTGTAAAACTACGTAAAAATATTCAGATTTCGGCATTAAATAACTCCCTAAGGTGTTGTTGCGAAACAAAATCAACCAACCAACTAATTAGGCACCCCATACTGATGGCCTTGTACTAAGCTTAGCTTAGTCAATAATTCTATACAACTACTACTGTTACTACTACATTAAGCTTGCTCAGCATTCATAGACCGTGAACATCACTCATCTATTTTGTACATCATCGACCGTACTTCAATGTTTCACTTTGTTTCTAGTAGCCTTTTAACAAAGGTTTTTACTGGTTGACCTCTACTACTTTTGCCATGAGTTGGTTACCTCAGTGTCACATCAGCCGCAAGTTCATTATGGCGCCAACAGTGTTCTACAGATTTTAATGCTTCTGTATAGAAATGGAAAGAATTTTGCCATAGTTTGATTGTTGTCAGCCTGGAGTATTCTTGTGTAACCAACATTTAGTGATTAATGACGTTAGTCCAATTGATTGGTTGGGCCATAGACAAAAACAGATTTAACACCAGCACGGAAGAAACCAACGATAAACTATTTAATCTATTCTATAAAATAAAATAAATCGTGACTTTATTATTCTGACACGATTTCCACGTGTACCGCCGAAACGAATCCTTAGGTTAAATTACTGAGATAATGTAAACGCATGTTGAATTTTAGAACTGTTCTCAATGAACGGCCATTTAAGCTATGCTTGTTGGTCGGTACGTTGTGTTGGTCACGTCAGCCGTATCTCTGAAATAAATTGCACGACGTGTTTGTCTTCGGTGAACAGGAGTCAGGAGAAACGGTTGCTGGTGGTCAGTATAATCGATAAAAGGGCCAGCATGAAGACATCATCCTTAGTCAATTAGAAAAGTTAGCTGGTGGTCGGACCAGTTGGGAATGTGTCAGTATAGACGTTGTTCAACCCACAGCAGCAAAATTAGTCCACTATGCAGAGGAACATATTCAGTGACAGACCTGCAAAATACCTCCTCCTCTGTTTTCCTCCAACATCTTTTCCGATGTCTCACTTGGGGAAAAAGTTAGTCTAATAACTAATCCACCATGAAGAGAACTTAATGGCATCCCCTAAAAAGACCGTTTAAAACGATGACGTCGCACAACCTGATCATACATTTTTAATTGTAGAATAACAATAATAAACAGCACTTACCGGTGTAAAGGTCCCAGCTAGCGTCCAGCTGGCAGACAAAAATAAAGCAGGTTGTGAACCCTGAGGATTTATTGTAACAATGAGTTACAATTGTGGCACAAGGCCAAAAAAGGGAGGGGAAAAGGCTGGTCAACACTTACTATCTTATACCTAGCTAATCCGACTCACGACCCATTCATACATTAAATTTACTCATTCACCACAAGAACTCATCCATCACCGTTCAATCCTCCAACCACCATAATACCACATCCACTCCAAGGGAACCTACCAAAACGCGCCCCAATCCATAAAAAATTGATGATACATAAAATGATATACATAAAATTTAATAATGATAAAATGCAAGGGGAGGGAGATGAACCCAATAAATAAAATGAACACAAAATACAAACTAAACATAAAAACCGTCCAACCCACAAAACAGAGAGGTTGCTTATTCTGCCCAGGGACAGAATCAAGAGACGCTCTCGCTAAGGACGGAATGGGAAAATGTAAAAAAGCTGACCCAGTCGAGATAAAAAGGGGGCCAAAACAAACTGGGGAGGTTGGGAATCTTGGACCATAACAAAGAGCAGCCGGGATACAGGCCAGGAACAACACTTACTCACATTAACTAGGGTACACTGAAGCTTGTCTAACCCACCAAGGAGGGTTCCACAGGAAGCCAATGTGCTGTAGGTTGACCTAGAAAAAAAAATCAAGGCTAGCCCCGGTCACACGAACCAGGCTTGCTACTTTTACCCACCTTTCGCTGAAGACTGTCGAATGCAAATCAGATCTAATCTTCATCTTGAGCTGATGCTCAAAGAATTGGATTAGATGCTGATAAGAAAGACGGTTGCCCCGCAAGACCCTCCATTCGCGTCGTCCAAATCACCATTCGAGCCGTGGCCATCAGCATCAGAAACACCATTCAAATACAAACCCTGCAAACTAACAGCTGAATCAAGCTGGTATTTATATAGAAATACCTCCACTCAGGTACCAGCAGCCAATCACAGCCCAAGCAATGGACTATCCCACTTTAGCACAATGAGATGCTCTATGGCAACATAAATAGCTCTCTTTCTAAAGGTTGGATTATTGTTCACTTAGCTTGCTCCACAACTAAGTGTTTATCTTTACCACGTGATTTTTCTACATTAATATAATAATGAGGTAATCCATTGTTATGGTAACAAATAGCGGTACTTAATGCAAATTAATGAAATTGCCTTGTTACAGCATACAAATGTATGTCTTATTTTATTTTCTTCATGTCATTTTAGGACGTAATCTGTCATGGTTGTCCATAATTTCCTTTTATTATCTTAAGACTGAATGAGAAAGATAATAGAATTGTTTCCTGTGGTCGTCTCCATGGCTTTTGAATTCAGTTATCTTTCTCCTAGACTGGCAGCCATCCAAGTTAACCCTAAAATTTGATGGCCTTTGTGCAATGAATATGGCCAATAAAGAAACTTATTAACTTTTTGTCTATAAACTTTACACTATTTACTTCATATTATGTAAAACTTTCCGTTGTAATTTTAATTTATTTTTTGTTTAATGACTTTGTGGACACCCTGTATAGAATTATATTTGTTATCTCGGCAAGTTAATTTATTTCATAAGCCAAAGTTTTACATTCGTTAGTCGTAGCAATATTAATAACCAGAAAATAGTTTCAAAATTCGACCAGAAATCGGTGATTTTATTTTGAGGAAGTACACACGTTTTGAATCTTCATTCACTAAAAAGTTTAGTTATATATCTGAAGAAAAAATATTGGTGAAAAATGACGATCCGCGTAGGTGAAACCTAGGTAGGTTTGTCTGGCTCTTTAGGTTTATTTATATATATATATATATATATATTCGCTGGAATATATGTTTTTAGTTCTTTCTTTTTTACCCTTGGGTATTGGTTTGTTCATTTACATGCTAAAACACATAAGGTTTTGCCGGACGAGTATAGC